AACATTATTTTCTCAGCTGTGAAATGGGAACAAAGCTACAGGGCTGTTCCTGTAATTACATGACTTAGAAGGTCGATGCTCTGAGCCCCGAGGCAGTGAGGAGTGGGAGTGGCTCCCACAATCTCCTCTGACCAGGCACTGTGGCCCCCGGCCTCCCTGGCCACTCTGCGCTCCCAGGAGCCCTGCGTTCCGGGAGGCTTGGGTCTGGGCCATGTCTGGGACCTTCTCTGTCTCACAGTCAGGTCCCCGCCACCTTCCCGCCTGTGAACATACACTGGGCAAGGATCTGAAGGCTCTTCTGAGGCCGGGGACGGCTGTCGCTTGAGGCTGCTGCTGGCGGACTCCTTCTCGGCTTCCCCTTCAGCACCGTCTTGAACCAGCGCCAGTTGCCTAACTTCCTGGGTCGGGCGGGTCCCCCAAGGGCCTGAGCTCTCATTTCGGGCTCCTTGTGAGGCGCCACTCCTGGGCTTCTCGGGGCTGCCAGTGTTCTTACCCCCTTCTCTTCCCCGACGTGGACAGTTCGAGCGGATGCCCACGGCTGGGTCCATGCATTCCTGCAGCTGCTCGACCCCCCACGATCATGCGCACCGGCTGGCAGGGACCCGAGGACAGAAACCAGCAGCGACCAGACTGACCCTCGCTGTAACCAGCCCCACGGCTGCTTCGTTCTCGCCGCCGGAAGGGAATGGGAGGCTCAGAGAGGCGGGGCTCGTTGCCCCGCGTTGCAGGGCACCGGCCTGGACGGCACCTCAGTCAGACGAGCCAGAAGCCCAGCCGGAGGCGGCCAGACGCGGCCGGTTCTGATCCTTGGCGGTGCCCTGTGTGCACGCCCGGCCGCCCGCGGTGGGGCTCGTCTGTGGGGTCCTTCAGGATCTCCACACGGGGCCCGCGGGTAGCGTCGGCTGCAGGAGGGGTGAAGTCTGAACCGTGAAGGCCGCAGGTCGGCCTTGTGACCTTGAACGGCCTGTGACCTTGAACGGCTCACGCGGGGTGTTCGCCGCGAGTTGCTGCGGCGTAGGTGCCCATGGACGCGTTCTGGAGATTTCCAGCAACCCCGGGGGGCCGTGGAGGCCTCCCCTCTGGAACGGGACGTCACCCTAAGGAGTGTCAGGCAGCCCCCGCCACCCTGTGCAGACCGAGGTCTTCTGCTCCCAGTTCCCCTCTCCCCGCTCGCCACCCCCACTTCCCTTTTTTATTATTTCCCAAGAAGCTTCTCACGTTACTCAAGACTCCTCAGAGTCAGCTGGTCTCCAAGCAGCATCCCACACGTTCAGAATCGCTCTCCCTGTTCAGTTAGTTGCAGAAATGAAATGGAACAGGGACGCCTGGCTGGCCGGGTCAGGAGAGCGGGCGGCTCTCGACGTCAGGGCCATGGAGTGCCAGCCCCACGCTGGGTGTAAAGAGGACTTAAAAAATAAATAAGTGAACTTAAAAAAAAAAAAAGGCAGTGGACTGAAGATGACTGGCCAGTGTTCCACTGGTTGGTTTGGGGCTGGTTCTTCCTAGCGTGTTTGGGAGGCTGGCGGGCAGTAGTGAGCTCCCCGTCCCAGTGCCTCGCCCTTGCACGTTCCCACTCTGCCAGCTCGTGAGGGCGCAGTGAGACCCAGCAAAGCCAGTGCCCGAACTCGTGTGCACGCCGTGGCTTTGCCCACAGTCCTACCAGATGCCCCTCATCCTCGGGTGCCTTGGAAGGTCCTGTCCATGACGAAGGTTCTGATAACGTTCCCACGTCACTTCTCCCCTTGTATGTCTTGTCATTCTCTTTGTGCCAGTGTGTACGTTGTGATTTAATGCGAGAATCTGCCTACAGAAAATGGTACATGTAAAATAAATTCTCCTGCCATTAATCCGAGAGGCGGTCTGCTCGAACGGCTTCTGCGTGCTTTCAGAAGTCTGACCTGGACTTTTGTGACGTCCATCTACCCTAGGTCCGGTGGTCTTGAGTTTTCTGAATATGGATTAAATCTTTCAGGAACAACGCTCCCAAGTGCAGCCTCAAGTTTTGCTTTGGAGTTTGAGGAAGTTTGGATCAGGACAGACCAGCTTGGAAGAAGCATTACCTTTCTGCAAGAGGGTCAGGGCAGGGCGCACGTCTGTCATTGGATTTCAGCCTCAAACGCCCTTTGTCCAAAAATAGCTCCACTTTTGTCCACAAGCCCCCAAATATTTACACACCCCACAGGATTCTGATTTAGGTTAGATTCTTAGAGACTGGTTTTCTGGAAAGAGGGAACATCACTGTGGGGAGAAGGGGAGGGGACGCTAGCTGGAGGAAGTAGGGGTGGGAGGCAGGAGATGCACTGCCCAGGGGAGAACATGGTTGGTGACGTGAAGTTCTTTACGCTCAGATGGAAGGAAACCCTGAAAGTCCAAGTTGTTGGCTTTAAAAGAAGTGAAGTCTTCTTGCCGATGTTTCTTTTTTCTCCCCTTCCCCTGTTTAGCCCCTCCCCGGCCCCCTCCCCTCGGTGACCGTCAGTGTGTTCTCTGGAGTTAAGTGTTTCTTAGTTTGTTCAGCTGTTTTGTTTCTACACGTATGACTGAAACCAGACGGCATTGGTTTTCTCTGAGTTACTTCACTTAACATCTTATCCTCCAAATCATCCGTGTTGTTGCAAATGGCAAGATTTCGCTCTTCTTGGTGGCCGGGTAATGTTGCATCGTATGTAGACCACATCTTCTTCGTCCATTCTGCGGAACATGGGCAAAAAGAGTTAATTTCTTTTAAAGCCAACAACTTGGACTTTCGGGGTTTTCTTCTTTTATTTTTGGGTGTGAGAAAGCGGTGTGAGAAAGTCGTCCATCCGTTCTTCCGCACGGAGCGGTCCAGCATTCCCATCACCGTTTATCGAAGAGGCTTTTTCCCATTACATATTCTTGCTTCCGTTGTCAGAATTAACTGATCCTAGAATCATGGTTTTATTTCTGGGCTTTTCTATTCCATTCCATTGACCTGTGTGTCTGTCTTTGTGCCAGTAACATACTAGTTTGATTACTACTGTACTGTACAGGGATATGTCTCAAAATCTGGGATTGTGATGCGTCCAGTTTTGTTTTCTAAGATCACTCTGGCTATTCTGAGTCTTTTGTGGTTCCATACAAATTTCGGGATTGCTCGTTCTAGTTTTGCGTAAAGGCGATTGGTATTTTGGCAGGGATCGCACGAAATCTGTAGCTTGCTCTGGGCGGTATAGACATTTAACAATATCTGTTATTGTCTGTGCTTAGACATGTATAACCCATTCTTATTTCTACGACAGGGAGGGAGATCCACAGATATCGAGTGTATTGTTAGTGTGTGTATTCTACACATCTTGCAAGTTCTCAATATCTAGTTAACACCCTACGAGGAATCGAAACGTAGCCAAACTTCAGAGGGACGGCGCTCCCTGCTTCCAGACCCGCGTCTCCTAGGAGAACACACCCACTCACACCGCCTGCCTACTCTGCAGACCCCAAGGGGACAAAAACAAGTTCTTCCCCTCTCTGTGCCTGTCACGTGGAGTACTGTGTGCCTCACCTCCATCTTTCCTGCGAGGGTCTTGAGATGGTCGGTTTAAATGGTTTGGTAGCCAGACGGTGGAACCACCTTGGAGGCTGGAGTGACCAGCGGAGGTAGACTTGCCTCCTTGAAAGCGTACATTCTTAAACACGAGGGGTTTCTTCACTCTCATGCGTGAACCGTGCGGAATTTACCGGTTCTCCTCAGCGGGTGACGTCTCATTGCCACCACAGCTGCCTTTGATTTACCGGAACGCGTCATCGCGACTTCACCTGATCCTTCTCTTCCCCGGCTCTCACGGGACGCGCCATCGCCTGGCCCCGTTTCCGTTTACAGCGTGAGGCGGGAAGGCTGTTCTCTCCACGGGCGTTGGCTGTTGAGGGTCTCCACCCGTAGCTGCTCAGGGACTCACTCAGCCTGGGAGGGGACACTCGAAAATGTCATCACTTCCTTTCTCGCCCATCCCGCCGTCGGTCGGGGTCCTCGTGGAGAAGGGCAAAGGCATCCTTCGTGGTCACTCAGAGGCACTCGGGACTATGGGAGACTTTGGAAAAATTCAGATCTTAAGCAAGTTCCCTTTCCCCTCTTGGGGAGTGAGACTTTCCTTTGATCCGGGCATATGTACCATTTTAGAAATCCTTCCCATCTGTACCCTTCAAGGACAGCTGCTTCACATTCAGCAGGGACATGGTTTTCACACGTTGTTTACAAAGAGTTCCTCATGGACAATGGCACTTTATACCTGTCCTTAAACACCAGCATCTGCGCCCCGGGGATGGTCAACGGTGATGGGGCGAGTGGTCCTGGTGGTCATTGCAAGGCCAAGGGTGAGGGTGGATAAGCAATTGGTATACAATGAGTTTGGGTAAATTCTCCACTTTTGTGCCTTGTGCGGTGAAAAAATCATGAATATGCTGCTAAAGTTTATGTTAGAAAAAAAACAGATGAAGAACAGATTTTTTTTTTTTTTAAGCCAACTTCATCTTCTTCGCAGATTGTGCACATTGTTGGGATACTTACTTGTCTGATGAGCCATCCTCAGTCTGACCCTGCAGCGTCTGTGCCCCCATGATTCCCACAACAGTGGGCGCAGACGGGCCGTTCGTTTTCAGGAGTGTCACCCTGTCTGCTCTCAGCGCGGCTCAGTGCACCTGGGGAGGAGATGGGACCCGCTCCGGCGCTATGCCGCAGGGCGGACGCCGCCCACGAGAGGTCTGGACTCGGGTTCCTTGTTCAGGATGAGGAAACACACTGAGGGGTCTTTGTTACTGAACAGGGCATGGGGATTGGCTGGGGTCCCACGTCCTCGCGGTTTGGTCGGCATCAGAAGCCGGGGTGTAACGTGCTAATACGGCTTCCGGTGTGTCTCACATCCCGGGGTTTTCATTTTCTTGTCTCAGAAACGGGCAAGGTGTATCTCACAGGACTGTCTCTCTGACTGAAACTGCAGGAACTCCAAAGGTACTAGCTTTAAAGCCCACGCCTTGTGTTTTTCTCGTAGCTTCTGACGAGCTCATTGACGCAGGATGGGAAACCACGCGGGAAAGCGGGAGTTGAGCGCGGAGAAGGGCGACAAGGTAAGAAGTGGGCCGGTTTGTCACTGAGCACGACCCCCCAATACCGACCTTGGCTGCAGGACTCCTTTGGAAACTGGGGGGTATTACCCCCGCCTCAGAAACATCTAGAGTGGCCCTGAGCACAGAGACCAAGACCTGCACGTCTCGGCCCGGACCCCAGCCCACAGCAGTCTTACTGGGCTGGCCCTTCCGGTGCCCGCTGTCCACCGTCCCTGTGCACTCGGTCGCCGCACCACGCTTGGAAGGTACCGATAAGCAAAAGGGAAAAATGCACATAAAAATGGTCCGAATCCCTCCAGGTCTTCAGAAATTACCCTGTGTTTCCCACACGGCGTCCACTCATCGTATCGGCCTCGGCTCCCCTTCCTGAGGGCAGTTCTCTGCGCTGCCCTCCACTCCCCTGGCATGTGTCCGAACCAAGGCTCAGCCTCTGGCTCCTGACCTCCCCGGGGCCGCCGGTCGCCAGGCTCCTGGTGGCTTTATGCTCCGTCTGGGACCTTCTCTACCATCGAGGGTCATTTTAGGTGATGACGAAACGGGGCTGACCCTGCGTGTGGAACATTGAACCCTCCTGTCGTGGGGGCAGGGACGGGAAATCTCTTCCCGGCTTCGGTACCTCATGTCGACGGAGCCTTATGTGTGTGACAGTCAGGATGCGTGGGGGCTCACGACCATCCTGGAGCTGAGGGCGGGCCACCCCCTCTGCCACTTGCACACGGAAGTGCTTCCAGACGCCCTGGGGCGCGGTTGGGCAGCAGCCCCTACAGCCCCTCTGCCGCGGTTGCGGTAGGGTTTGGAATGCATGACCGTGACCTGAGCGGCAGGGGGTCCTTCTCTGCTCCTGCTTGGACTCCTTTCCTGCATCAGCCGGGGGGTCCTTCTCCAGACATGTTTCAGGTCCCCCTGTTCTCGCTCCTATGCTGCCTTCATGAGCTACAGGGTTAGCTAGTGTCTCAACAGATGATTTCCGGCCCAAGAGGAGCTGAAAGGGACTTCGCTGTGTGTAATGTCCTTATTGGTTTGGAATCCTCCCTTCACCGCTGATGGGGGGACTGATTTTATAAACACATTAATGATCTTAGTTCATACTGAATGGGGGGGTGACTTGTGGATTCTTAAACCCCAAACTGGACGGCTGATCACCTCGTTCTAACGGCAGTGGCGTTGAGCTGTGAGTTGGGTTGGGCGGGGTCCGCACCCAGAGCCGTGTCTCCGTCCACCGCAGGTGAGAGTGGACAGCCGTGCAGACTGGCCGCCTCTGAGCCCCGGGGGACCGCAGTCTCCTGACGATGGATTCGTGGCCCCAGTTCTAAAAACCACTCTGTGACTCGCGGTTCTCTCCTGTGTTTGACGTTGTGAGTCACTGAAACACGCTCTTAATTTGTGAATTCTCCCAAAATAAGACGGCGGAGCCGCGGGGAGGCCCATACTTGCACTCTTGCTTCTGAAAGCTGATGTTTAACATTTGGATGATTAAGAAATTGGGGATTGGGGCGCCTGGGTGTCTCAGAGGGTTAAGCCTCTGCCTTCGGCTCAGGTCATGGTCTCGGGGTCCTGGGATCAAGCCCCGCATCGGGCTCTCTGCTCAGCAGGGAGCCTGCTTCCTCCTCTCTCTGCCTGCCTCTCTGCCTGCTTGTGATCCCTGTCTGTCAAATAAATAAATAAAATCTTAAAAAAAAATTGGGGATTTAAGAGCACTGGTGTCTGCCGGTGATCGTTACATGGTAAAGCTCTGCAAGTTTTTTTGGTTTTTGTTTTTTGTTTTTGTCACCGGAGAGAAAGGTTTCACAGCTTTCCGAGTGAGCATCTGAGATGATCCGTGGCATTTAGATGGGCACCAGAATAGAATGAGATGACGTGGGCCACTGCCCTGCTGGGGACCCCTCTGTGTGCTCCCTCAGGGGGTTCCGTGCGGCCCACTTGGATATGGGGGACAGTCGGAGCAGTGTCTGTGTCAGGGTGCCGGGCTGACCTGTGAATCGGAGGGCCTCTGTGGGGCCGTCTCACCTCCGCTCCCCTCGCCTGCCCCTGCCCTCCCCTCCCGCACCCCTGCCGAGGACCCGTCCGTGTTGGGGTGGGTGTGACTCCCTGCTCCCGCCGGGGCCTCTGTCCAGCACCGGGGAAGGAGTCCCCTCCCAGCAGGACCTTCCGGGTCAGGTTTCTCCTGTGACTCAGCACCCCGCGGTCGTCCCACCACCCTCTCCGTCCCCCTGAAGAGCACATGTCGGGATGCCAGAGGGAGAGGTGTGTTCCAGAAGGCAGAGAGACACGGCCGCCTTTCCAGCCTTGCACATTAGTGGCTGGTGGAGCAGGACACAGGGCACGGCGGCCAGGTGGCTGAGAGCCCCGTTCCCGTGGCCCTGGCTCGGAGCAGAGCATCTGGGGGTGAGCGTGATGGAGAAAGACCACAGCCACAGGAGGAGCCACGGGACTGTTTCCGTGAATCATTCCCAGTCTTCGGAAACGAAGAAAGCCTTCTTTTGCCTTTGGTTCCCTGTGTTTTTAAGACTCTGGACGGTGCCGGCTCACTAACTTATCAGCACGTTGTCTCTCGGTCCGTGTTCATGCTTCCTGGGCAGACCCAGGAACAGGAAGGACGCACCCCGACGGCCCCGGGGGCCCCAGAGGACACCCGTGCTCGCTGCCCGAGCCCCTGGCTCTGGCTGAGACTCGCCGCATGCTCAGCGGCCTCCCCCCCAGAGGCTCCTGGAAGAAAACTGGGTCCATGGGCTAAAAATAGCCTCTTTGCCTTTGGGGAGGCTGTACCTGGCAGATGGCCCTGGGGAGTCTGGTAAGGAACCTGGCCAAGGGACAGAAGACATTTGTCTCGCTTGGCTACGGCGGGGATTCAGGACCTTTTGTCGGCTTGAATGGAAGGTGTTGGACCAATTGCCCCTCTGAGAGACTGTCCCTTTGCAGCAGGCCCTCCGCATGGGGTCTGCGTGTGACCGGCCCTCAGTGTTGGGTCCGTGTACGGCAGGAACGCAGGAGAGAGACGATGTTACTTGGGCTGCCCTGGGCTTGGGGTTCACTCAGCGTGGAACTGCATTTCCCTGCTACCGTACCTGGCTCACAAGTTCCCCATATTTCTGAATGTTTCTATTTCATTGGCTTAAGGAAAAATATACCACGCTGAAAACCAAAATCTGAGCGCCTGCAAAGTGTAGGTTCACACCTGAACCTTGCAGTGGGGAGTGACTTCTCCGTCTGGTTACCAGTCAGACCGATTAGTTATCCCCGCCGTTCTTCGGAGCCGAGCGTGCCCAGACGCGGGCAGTACGCACCAGCATGTTGTCTCTCCAGGGATAACCACATCCCCCAGAAAGGCATCCATGTCTTTAATCATCATTAAAATGCGCTCGCTTGACGAGACCCTCCAGACGGTACACGAACGACACTCTGAGAAACGAGACGCTGGTTTGCAGATACACAGCACTTCCCATCCCATGTGGACCGTCTTCACTTTGGTGAGAGAATCCGTCTCTTCTGAAAGGACTGACAGCCCAGCTGTGCGGGGGCCCCCCTTGTCCGTCCACAGAGTAATTCTTCAAGGCCTTTCCTTGACGGAGTCCTACATCCTGCAACTCATCCCAGCTGTGGGACACTGCCGGGGCTTCTCCCCAATTTAGAAGCCTCTATTCTGTCCGCACCAGCCTCAGAGTGGGAAGTCATCCTGTTTGAAGCCATCATTGGGGGAGAGGCTCCATGCTGTCATCTCTCCTCCCCACACAGGAATTAGGTTCACTGAAGGCCCAGCTCATGCGAGCTCTGCTGGCAGCTGTGTCCTCAGTGTCCCCTCCCCGCATAGCCCATGGGGGAGGTGCCCAGGGGACCCTGCCCTCTGCCAGCGCCCGCCCGGGTGACAGCCTGCAAACCCCGGGCAGGGTGCTGTCCATGCCATGGGGAAAAGGGCATGGTGGGACTGAGCCCAAGCCTTTCAGACTTCCGAACGCCCTGGCACTGTTTCCTCCCGATGCCACACATCCTCCTACACTTCTGATGCAAAGTGACGCTGTCACCACTGTTTTGCAGAATGGGAAGTGGGCTTACGAAGAAAGCTACTTCCTGCAGTCACCCCGACCCCAGCCTGTAGCATCGTGTGGCCGGGCTGTGGGGCCACCGGGTGCTGAATTCACCCGGAAATACTTACCTTTCTGACGGGCTTGTGGCACCTGGGCCGTTGTTAGACCCATATGTGTGTGATTTCTGTTTTCTTGGGCAAGTCACATAAACGTTTTTGAGAACTCAGGTCGTTCTTAAGTGAATCATATTTGTTTAAAAGCTTAGGGATCTGTAAAGTGGAAGGTACATCCTCGCAGGCCTGTACCAGATTGAGGAAACACCTCAGCCACGTAGAGTAAATCCTTAGTGAGGTTCCGGCAGACGTCCATGGTGGTGTGTCTTCCGCAGAGTTCCAGAATTGACTCTGTATCCCCCGGCTGTCTGGGTCTCTCTGGCTCACACTCGTGCGCATGCGCGCACACACACGCAGTAAAGCAGTCGTCTCTGCCTCCATTGTGGACCATGGGACGACTTTCCCGACAAAGGTGGCCAAGAAGCAGGTGGTCTGTGGCTAGAGCTCCTGAAGAACCAAATTTTAAATGTTACTGAATTTTAAATACTTTAGACGTCAGTAGCCTTGCATACGGAGGGGCAGCGCGGCCTCCTGGGTCCTCCGTCCAGGTCCCCTTGGTTCTCAGACCTCCTGAAACCCCACCAAGCATCAACCAATTTTGTCAATGAAAAGAACTCTGGTCTCTCTCAGAGTCATTGAGTTTCATGCAGAAGCTCCAACTGGATGCGGAGAGTGAAATCCCTGGAGAAGCAGGGACACACACACTCACACACACACCAGAAGTTGCCCAGAGGGCGTCAGGGCGCTCTCCGCTCCCGCGGCGGGTGCACGTCCTCCCACACGCCCCTCCCCGCTCAGCACACGGCTCTGTGTCCCCCGCGCTCCGCCCGGGACAGAGCTCAGCCCCGCGCACGTACAACGGCAC